TTGTAAGTCAATGATTATAATGAAATTTATCCATAGTTGGGGAATTAACGTAAAGCCCCTGGCAAAGTCGCTATAAGTTGCACAATATATTTGATTTTGCTTTGACACAGGGGCCTTCCGCTTACTATTTATAATTATTATATCACTAAAAATAAAAACAAATTAAGTAAAAGAAAAAAATACAGTCGAGTTGTTGAAATTATTGACGTTATAATAAGTACTTTCCCTTGCGAAAAAGCAAAGATCTTTAGACCATGCAGCCTAGTCTTTCTCTATATTTTTTAAATGTATAAATGGTAACCATAGTAACTATTTTATTCATACACATAATTCGAAACACCTCGCATTTTCAGAACTAAATGCCCTAAGCTTAAACAATGTTTGATTTATGAAAAACTATTAGGCAATGTTGAAACTAGTGTGCTAAACGTCTTTTCCATAAATCGTTGTTGAAAGTTTGGATTTGCAAAACCGGGGAAATAATTTTTCTTCGACGATAACACTACTTTTGCATTCTAGCCCTTTAAGACAAAAATGCGAAGTGGCCCGAGGTATGTGTCCGGAAGTATATTATCCTTCTCTCAACTCTGTTATTCTGTAGTCAGAACACTCTGTTGCTTATTAATCTATGATATTGAAATGTTGTGTCTTCATCGCACATCAGTGAAACACAGCATGAGTGTGGAACGCCGCATCTAGTACGCTGGTAAGTACTAGCGTACTAGATGCGGCGTTTACTTCATCAGACCCTTAGACTTTTTCCATACCCAAAGGCCAGAACTCAAATAACTTTTTATTTCTATTTTTTTTATTTTCGCGCTAATTAAAAAAAAAGTCACGTTAGTTGCTTGGTTTTTTTTTTATTTATTAAGGCTTTGGCAAAGCCATCAGCCTAAACATGAAGTTTAATTATGTTTCTGTAAATATGGCCGCTACAAAGAGGATAGGCAATTTGAGGCGGCGTGCTTGGATTGACTCGGGATTCCTTAAAACGGGCCGATACGTGTATTTTAGTTCGAGATTCGTATAATTTTGCGTTTTAATCTTCGATTAAGACACAATAGCACTATCCTATTCCACTTTAAACTAGATTTCACAAAAGAATTGAAAGTCAAAATAAAAACGACAGTTTTCCCTACAAAAGGTCCAGAGCGAATCACCTTAGTTGCTTGGTAAAGATTTCTTAATTAAGAAATAAAGGTAATTCCTAAAAAACTTTTTATTTAACCTTCAAATCACGTATTCATCAAACCGCCCTTGTGAGAGTACTTGTCGATGTAGTAAACGCCACTTCGTCCTTTACAAAGCTTTGACCTCCTTTTACAATAAGACTCCGTGTCTATTCTTAGATATCCTCGACCAGGCTTGCCTTCCACTTACACTTCATACTTCCTTTTCCATTTGAAACTATTTCAAGATGTGTACTTCCTTTAACTTTTGTCAGTCAGTCTTGATGTGTCGCTTTCCCTGACCAGCTGATTTTTTTCACGTTCTAGCTTTCCGATTCTTTGCATAATGAGTGTCTTTTTTAAAACAAACCACTAAAAATATTGAAATCCAAATATCAAAGTAGGTAAACAAGTTCTTGACTGAATGGCAGTAGATAATATTGCGCGCGTTGAATCTCGTAACAGATGTGTCAGTTGCATAACAATTGCCTCAACGTTTGTGAACATTACATCGGTTAGATACAAACAACATTGCGGCAAGAATTCATATGCAAAACTTGAATTTGGCTTAATAATGTGTAATAATAAAATTGTAATTACACTCCCGGAGGCATACATACGAAATTATTGTTATCATCGAAGGAAAAGTTTTCCCGGTTTTACAAATTAAAATTCAAATTTACAAATTCAAAATTTTAGAAATCCAAAAAAGATTTATAGAAATAACGTTTAGTATACTAGTTCTAAAATTGCAATAGTGCACGGTGGCTCGAGTTATGTGGCCAGGAAGTATACTTACCTACTTGTTATCGTGGACCTAGTTTTACTATCTTTCTTTATATTAAAATGCAGGTATTGAAATTATGCAGCTGTTTTATTTCGGTAAAAAAACGTAATGAATATTTTTTTTTTGCAATATCTAATTTAGGATTTCTACCAAAGTTTGAACATAATTTTGCTAACAAAATGTTTTTCAATAATGAATTTGTTATTTTTTGCAATTTGCAGATAACTTCTTTACACGCGTAAACATACAATGCTCCTGTTTTCTCAATGTCCCTCGGCAATCATCGGATTTCCGAATGCACACAAACATTAATTTCGATTCCCATTAATTATTACACTTAAATCTATAATAATATGAAATGTGAACAACGTAAGTACTTTATTGTTGTTTTGTTTTGATTCCCGTGTGAACTATATAGAGCTGAAAACTGTTTCCCTATTTTTAATAACATACACACATCAAAAGTGTCTAGGGATCAAGTACGTTTAAGAGTATTGCTGCAATTAGGGTTAATTATATTAACTTTTTTGTATCGCTATTGATACTTTTTAGTGAGTTTTAACATTTAAATAAGGAATATTGTTTAAAATTCGATAATAAGAAGAAAATCGATTGTCAATGTGGTTTTGTATAAAAATGAGTTATAGCGTTTTGACAAAACCATTACAATATCTGCATCGGAACCGAAACAATTTACATTATTATGGAGAGACGACATCATTTAACCCGAGAAGTGATGATGCGAGCCGTCGGAATGTTGGAAGCTGGTTCCAGGCAACGTGCTGTGGCTTTCACTCTTAACACTACACAGAGCGTCATAAGTCGCCTCTGGACGCGCTATCGCATGACGGGCAGCGTGGCCGAGCGACATGGAGGACGATCTCGCATCACGACTCGCAGACAGGACCGGTATATCCAAAATACTGCTCGACGGAATCGTACCATGACCGCCATGATATTGGTTACGAGGCTCCACAGCTCCTCAGGCTTGCTAATAAGCGATCAAACAATCCGAAATCGTTTACGTGAAGTGGGTCTGCGATCCCGAAGGCCGCTCAGAGTTCCACCTATTGCACCCTGCAATCGCAGGACCCGTTTACGATGGGCTCGCGAACACAGAAACTGGGAGGAAGAAGACTGGCGATATGTGTGCTTTTCGGATGAATCCCGCTTCGGTATGAGACCGGATACAAGACGTACTCGAGTTTGGAGAACATCTGGACGTCATGAACGTTTGAGATATTGTCAGGAAGTTCATCCATAGGTGGGGGAACAATAATGATATGGGCCGGTATTTGGATCGGCGGAAGAACCGATCTCATTTGGATCAGGGGTAACCTCAATGCTCAAGTTTACGCAGAGAGGATTGTTTCAGATGTTATCATCCCTTTGCGAGGCCAGTTGGGTGATTCATTTCAACTAATGCATGACAACGCACGTCCACACACGGCTAGAGTCGTAACACGCATTCGTGCCGAAGCTCGTATCAACGTTCTGCCGTGGCCTGCTCAATCGCCAGACCTCAATCCAATTGAGCACGCATGGGATATGCTTCAAAGAAGAGCTGTGCCGAGTATGCATACCGTACATACTGTACAACAATATTTTGACTTGTTACAAAACACATGGGCGGCCATTCCTCAAAGTGCTTTTGATGAACTCATCTTAAGCATGCCAAATCGCTGTAATTGTGTGATTCGTGTTAATGGTGGAAATACAGATTATTAATTTTCTTATCTTTACAATAAAAATGAGCAAAATCATCATTTTCACCATTTTTTTGGCATTTAATTGACGCCGTTAATTTGAGTTTTTTCCCACAATTTGCAAAAACATCAATTTTAGTTTATTTTAATTAAATATAGGGGTAAGCGGTTAAATAAAACATAAGCATTAAAGTAAGAAGTCGTCCTGGAAGACTGGATTTGGTAAATATTGCTTAAATAATTTTTATTTCAAAAATATTCACTTGATCCCTAGACACTTTTGATGTGTGTATTTGCTCCATGTTGTTAAGCAAGTTAATAAAAATATAATATAGAATACAGATTTGTGTTTTTTAAACACCACAAGCTACAGAAATACGTTTTTGGACTTTTTGAAAATAACCATTGTTGTCTTTTTGAACGTATCGGCTTCTTGTAAAAAATACAATTACACGCTGTAAATTATCTGTCGTGGCTGTGACTTTAGCGACTTTCCTCCAATTGCATAATAAATAAAAAATGTAATAGCAACTCTATATACTTACAAGTCGACTGAAAGCGTCCGTTCTGTACCAAAGGCAAAGGGCAACTGATAAAACCCGACGACAGCGAAACACGAAGTTTGCCGAGAGACACTGCGATAATAGAAGCACTGTACATACCTACAATTATGTGCCTTTATTTAAGGCAGTGTGATGATGTACCAGCATTTTGCTACGCCTACATGGAGTTACATGTCGGTTATGAAACTAACTTCTACCCTTGCAGGTATCCCGGAGATGGGGGTATCGCCATTCGATCCTCACTTCGCGAAAGAAGTAAAGCAGACACGCTCCATCGTCGGTATGAGTTACACCCTGACGCTGCAGAACGTCTACGAGAAGGGCTGGACACAGTCTACCGTCACTAAATACAAGTAATTAAAATGCTTACTTAGAGGGTTTCCATCATCGGGTGACCAGGGGACCTGCCATAATCTTTCCAAAAACAATGTTATTTCAAGCTTATTGTAATATTACTCATATTCGTACAATGACGAACCTGTCATCCAAGTAATATATTATTGCAAAAGTGATTGAAAGAAGAATGATTTCCCAATATTGTATATTACTTACTAAATATAGGAAAGAGATAAGGCTATGTGAACTATATAATGCCATCTCTTTCTTTTTTAATGTTCCGAATCGTCTTATAGAAGTACAATGTTTAAGTACTTAATGTTATTTAATTCAGAGAATTTTGACTGTTAAGAAAAGAAAAGTATGTAATAATAAAATCTATTAAAATTACGTTCTTTTCAATAATTATTCCGCATTTTCATGAAGAAAAAACAAGCTGAGTCTTGATAGTTACGCTGTGAGTTCGGAATTATAGTCTAGTGTCAACTGTTAGTTTCGCCAAGAAGCATATAGATGGCGCTGTTATAATTTTACAAAATAAACATCGCGTATTATTATTTAACGAAAAATTATTTACTATGTGCTATTAAATAAAAAAATAAACAAAATATTGAAGAGATATATGTAAATAAATAAGTCCAACTTAAATTTTAATCATTACAAATCAATATTAAGACAATAAAACTGAAAATAATATTGTTTCCATTGCATCCGTGTAACTATTATAAGATTGCTAAATTTGACATAAGAGCAATATTAATTTTATGTTAAAGTCGCGTCATAGTACGAACGGAGTGAATGAATAGTCAGAAAGCTGCCAATAAAACATCATAGTTTTAACATTACAATAAGCTTACTTTAAGCGCGTTATGGTACGAAAAGTCAATGTAAGGTTAAAGTAATATTGCAGGCGTAGGCTGGGGTTCCACCCCTATGTTGTGGATATTCCAAGAATTCGCACGAAGGTCTCCTCGCTTCCACATGTATATGCGAACGGCAATGGCGTGGAATTCCCTGCCTGCAGACTTGTTCCCTAAACGTTACAACTTGGACCTTTTCAAAGCGAGAGTGAATAGGCATTATTTAAGTGTACATGCTCCATCGTCGACTTCATCGTCACTTTCCGTTAGGTGGCATGGAAGTCACATGCGCACTTAGTTTTTAATTAAAAAAAAGTCACCACTCACGCAGAAACAATAATTATAACTTTTTTATTAAAAAAAACTGACCACAAAAGTTTGTATATCGGCGTTTTTATTGGAATTACATCAATTTATTTATTTTTAATTGATTAATTTATTTATTTTTATTTTTTTTATTAAGTAAGTTTTATTGAAATCGATTTATCGGAAAGTGCGCGAAGCTGGATTCATCCTCTAGTTTGCCACCCTTAGAGGTAAAATATTTTCTTCAAATTTAAATGGGACCATTACTCAGGTACCCTCTTTCCAATAAAAAGAATCATCAAAATCGGTTCACAAATAATAATAATAGGATAATAAATAATACAAACAGTAATGGCGTAACATACATACAAAAAAATCATCGAATGTATAATACGAAAAAAATCATCAGTCGAATTGAGAACGCACTCATTTTTTTAAAGCCGGTTAAAAAAGAAAAAGCCTTGTGCGATAAGTGCAAAAACAACATAAACAAAACGCGTTTCGAATAAAGCTTTTTCTGACCTTATGTGATACCAACAGTGTTGTGTTTCCCTTATCGTTATCTTTTGTATTTGTGTGATTTGTGTTTGTGTGATTTTTTGATTGGGACAGTATGGAGAAATCTCAAACCTTAGATAATACTAGAAACTCTCTAAGGAACCATTAGCTCTTTTGTGAAAGCAAATTTGACAATAGTTATTTGCTAAGCAAGGCTGCAAAGCTGTTGTTAGACGCGAGTGCTTGTATAGAAACCTGAGCAAGCAATGGGTTCAAAAATAGATTCCTGAGCGTAGCGAAGGTTTCAAGCCACGAGACGCAATACAACTGTGCTGCCGAGCGAAACTCACAATTTTTCACCTCACTACAGCGAGGAAAATGGACAAATCCTTAGAATAATAACGTATAGAAGTCCGCACACGCTAAGTGAGGCAAATTGAAGCGCGCCAAAAGGGCCTACACGAGCGGGCGGGCTTTCAGTGCTCAAGGTCAACTTGCACCGCGAACAGATCAAGAATTTTAGCTAAAAATGACGAAATGTGCGGTAAATGAGCGTAAAAATACGTCACACAAACATAAAATAGATACTAACATCACATTCCACAAGGAAGTAACGCGTTTCAACGTGTATTTTTATATAAATATTCACTAAAACCGAAAATTAACCTACTACTAAAACTAGCCTACATGAATTTGATTTTTGCCTCACTTGTGACAGTTCGTTTGATATGAAATTATCATTCTATGCCATTGACTTATGTTCTATGCGTTATTATTCTAAGGACAAATCGCGTAATTCAACATGTCATTATCTTTTTTTTATCAAGTTCGAATTTCAAAAGCCTTTTTCACGCTAGCGTGCAAAAAACGCTTTGGCGCGTAAATTTCTAATGAGAAAGAAAACCTCTCCGAGCTAGTGGAGATAAAAAACAAATCTTTTGGTCAAACGTGTGTCGTCCATAAAAATTCTTCTATTCTTCTCATCGTATCGATGGCATATCTACACTAGAATGCTTGCCATCGTGGTGAAAGGATTTGCCAGTCGCCGATAGTTGCCCAGTGTGCGCCAGACGTATAGAAAAGGACAGGTACGTCAAGCGGGGAGACTCCCATCGTACACCACGTAAATAAATGATATTGACAAAAAAAATTATACAGCAGATGTTGGTCAAGTTTAATAAAACGTTATTTCGTACAAAAGGAAAATATGAAAGATCATACGGTTATAGGTTCACCACACTGTCTCAATAAAAAAAAAATACTGTATAATGTGTACCAGCTATTTTAGAGTAATTAAACATTACAATGTTCAAAGCTTCGTAAACAACTTGAACAATAATTTTACAACCGTTGTGTGTAATACAATCGCAAGATTTTTTTCTCTTACACTTTTACAATTATTTTGCAGAACCGATTGGGACAATCAGCGGATAATCTACTCACAATATTTCCCCGAAAAGTGGTTGGAAGGAGACTATGAATTTAAGGTAAAGTAACAAAGGTTCATAACTTCAAAGATTATTTATTCCATAGGTAAAATAAATTTACACTTGAAAACGTCACATTTAAGCCACTGCTCGTTCACTACGCTGACCTCCCTGAGAAGAACGACCAAGAAACTCTAGCTCTGATTGCTCTTTTCAAATAAACTTAAATGCTATGGAATACACTTATAATCGAATTTGTGTGGATTCTGGAGCCATGTCGTCTTTCCATACATCTTTATCTAACACGTAGTCTTCAACTTTGTAATATGATTTTTCGATCAAAATATTTTTAATGTAGTTTTTAAACTTAGGAAATGATAATATCTGCCGCTTTACCCCACATGAGAATCCTGTAGGACATTATACTATGGAAGTAACTAAAGTAAACTAGTCTAGCAGTACTAACATCGGTAAGCTCACGTATTTTGCGGACTGCGTATGCAGCGGAGCTTAATCTGCTGGCCAGGGAAGATAGTAGCGGTTATGGACCAGTACAACTAAAACAAAAAGCTTCTTAGATTTGTCATTACCTAGGGCTCTCTAAGCCTCATTACTGACACCTCCTCAGAAGTGTATAGTTTTTTAAAAGGAAACACTACCATTTCATTACCTTATTGAAACCGAGAATTATTAGTTTGTGGATCTTATTGACATGAGTATTTCGAATTTTATTTTTTTAACTGGATCAGATCGCAATTTGAATTAGATGTACAAGAGTTGTTCAAAGTATTATTCGTGGGGCGTATTAAACCGACCAATTGTAGCAACAATTTATTGTCCTAGTGACCGTTTTCTCTATATCTATGGTAAGCGTAAGCGTACCGTGGACAAATAAATAATAACGTCAAAATGAGCAATTATAAAGAAGTCAAGGAGCTAGCTATGGACCGTGAGGAGTGTTTTTTTATGTTATCAAGTGACGGGACGAAGAAGTCGTGCACCTGGTTGTTGCGTCCTGATTTTGATTCAAATGGGAATCGAACCGATCGGGTAGTCTCGAAATCAGATGGGCTTCCGAGCGAGAAGATGAATCTGATTCCTGCTATATCTTTATAATTTGTAAGTTAAATCAACTGTTGTTCCTACTTGAAACATCCAGCAAGTTGTGAACCGCAATTATGCGCCTCGAGTCGGAAGAGACGCAGTTTCCGATCGGGAGAGGCAATCAAAATCGAGCCGCTGAGCTTTAAGTCGCAAAGATCTGAGGAACATTGCCACTGCGCCCGTCACTCTAAGACTTAAGTTGACAAGTCCCATGGAGAATTTCGACGACTCGTTAGCTGGACCCGTGGCTCTGATGGTTAGAGCTATGCTACGGTGCAGCATGGTCGTGGGTTCAAGTCCCATCCGGTCGACGAAATTTTTCTGTGTTCGATCTTTGTATTCATAATCATAACAAAACTAGTGGAGTTGTTTCACAAAAAAGCCCCATGATCCTGTAATTTCACTAATGGAAGAGGAAACACCGACAAAAGCGTGGATAAATCTAATGTTATAATTACTATAACGCCTGAAATTTCTTAAATACCCTTATAAATTTTTGTATGAAGTTTGTACCCCGCACCTAGTCTAGTGGCAAGAAAAAAATAACATTAATATACAAATAGTTTACGCGGTCGATAGCAGCAACTGTCACTGGATTTATTGACATTTTGCAAGGTCTTGTACGGTTACATGCAGCAGAGATTAAAGTCCCTACGATACTCAAACGCCTGAGATTTAGCAGCGAGCAATAAATTTCTTCTGTTACACCTTCATTCAAGCAAATTATTCGAATGAGCATTTCTGCGTTCAGATTTTGAAGGGGCTGCTGGTGAAACCACGGTCAAACTACAGGTATATGGGAATTGTCAACTTTATATCTCAAATCTTGGCAATTAAGACTAAGTAACATTGCACCTATGGGTAAGTGTGTTGGCGCTTGCCACCAGGCTCAGCAGCTTGATTTTGATTGCCTCTCCCGATCGGAAACTGCGTCTTTTCCGAGTCGAGGCGTATAATATTGCGGACGGGGGTAGCCCATCGGATTGATTCCGAATTTGAATTAAAATCAGGGCCCAGGACCTGATCGTCCCTTCATTTGAAATTTGATTAATAAAGAAAGCTTGATTATGATCGAAACCTTCGGTTAAACAGGGAGACGCATTAGGCCTCAGCGTGTTCCGCGGCGGGCGCTGGAACCTCACCCTGCGGGACTACTCGCAGACGACGCGAATCAAAAGAAACGGCAGTGGCGTGGACGTGCACGTGGAAGTTGACCATATCGGCGACATGGACATACATGTCGGGAATTTATTGAGGGGCCGCGGTGTATTAGGTCAGTATATAGTTTGGTTTTCACACTACTATATAATAATATACGCTAAGTGTATTTTAAAGACTCCTTTACTGGTGTCCGTCAGGATGGCTGGACCAAACGAGATATACAAATCAAACTGTGCTCATTATTTACTACCTATTTTCTACTATTTAATACCTTTATTGACATATTGTCTACCTTAACGCTAACGGAAATATTAAAGAAATAAAGTGGCCAGCCATTCTAACGCCAGGTTGGTTGACCACTTTACGTTTTTCATGGTTCTAGCAGTATATAATTTCCTTTTTTAAATAACTATTTACTACCTAATTTCTACCTAAACATACTTTTTTTCACTATTTTAGGAAGCTTCTATAAAAAGTTATTTAAAAATAATAAGAAAACGCCTTTGCAAAAGTTATCTTCTAAAACATTCTAAAATGTTTATCTCCTCCGTGTAATTGCTAATAATACTTATTCAGGCGCTAAGAATCTGCTAAAAAAAGAACGTTGTCTTTTGGGAATTAAAATGTCAATCAACCTGACGTCAGAATGGCTGGCCACTTTATTTCTTTAATATTTCCGTTAGCGCTAAGGTAGAAAATATGTGAATAAAGATACCAAATAGTAGTAAATAATGAGCATAGTTTAATTTGTATATCTCGTTTGCTGCAACCATCCTGACAGACACAAAATTTTTATTAATTTTGTTTATTATTACGTTATATTTAGTCGATTCCCTTATGAATTGTACCTCAATATCCTGAGTGTCGATGTATTACAAACAACTAAAGAAGACTAAAGACTTTTCTACATCGCAAACAACCGTGCATCAGATTGTGCATCAGTTCTGCTGCGTTTGCCAAACCTGTCACGAATTTGGACAATTGCAAATTTGGAAGTAGAGATATGATGTTAACAGTTTATGATTGAAATTTCGCAGAACGCATGCTGGACCGCGTGATCAACTTTACATGGAAGCCAGGCTTCGCGATGGTGAGGCCGCTAATCAACGAACTCGTCAGTACCGCCTTCACCGATATCTGGAGTCGCAGTTTCAAAGATTTCCCCGTAGACAAGTTCATTAAGGACTGAGAACGGGAAGCAAGAGAGAAGTTTTTTTTATAAATACATGAGACCAATATCATCTCGATTGTCGCTTATTCGCAAGCGTTCTCATAAACACGTGTTTTGTGTTGTTTTCTGTTTTAAGCGTTGTGCTATAACCATTATATATATAAATAGTACACAGTCCAGATACACAGTATTATATATACATAGAAAACACAATTTGAAAATTCGAAAAAAAATACTGACAATATATAAACATGAATATACGTATGCATGTATTGGTTGTATTAAGTTTTTTTTAAATTATCAAATCGTGTTTTATCAATTCCACTGTTTTGAGTTACGACACCATTGTAAATAGCAGTGCGTACTGACTGTGATGACCACCTTATTATTTTTCACATTATGTATAACTGTAGGTATGTACAACTAAAATAATAATGACAACCCTACGCTCCGAGCGAAGTGTAGGGCCGTTGTCGGTTGACGCGCCGAGCAGGCGGGGTTTCTCTACTCGTCTTCTTTTGACTATGCTATAAGTGTCAGGCCGCATGCGAAAAGGAAAGTTCAGCGCCGGTGCCAGTCCTTATTGCGCCAGAGTGCTTTCAATACCTTGACGCCCACTAGTAGGCAGGCACGCGATCAACATGGAATACTTAGTCGGTCTTTTTTGAAGATGGAGTAAAATGACATTTGCTGGGTTGCCAGTTTTCGTAAAATTTTAAAGTCATGTAATTGTTGTCGATAATTTTATCGATAGATTGAGAAAGTAGGTAAAATTTTGCCAAAAATGTCTGAATAGTGAATGTTACGAGCTAATCTCATCTAATGATTAATTAGTAATGATTACTAATTGCGTTATTTTATTCTTTATTTATAGTCATACATTTTAATAACGACAGGCGGATTTGATTATGTAAGTATAAGAACTTTACAATGTCTCCTATTTATATTTATTATACACATACTGCTAAACTTAGTGTATGTATGAATTTTCAAAAATTTAAAATTCAAAAGTATCTGTGCCCAGCAATTGGACGAATAATTGGCCGATCATGATTGAAATGAAACAAGTTCGGCTATTTATTCCATAAGCGTGACAAATATTCAGTCGATAGTCGATATAATATTTATCAACTGCAATCACTAGTTGCTTGCAAGACGGCAACACTTTTACGCAATGAACTCTCAAGATTCGCTCTGGGCCTTTTGGAGGGAAAAGTGTCGTTTTTATTTTGACTTTCAATTATTTTGTGAAATCTAGTTTAAAGTGGAATAGGATAGTGCTATTGTGCCTTAATCGAAGATTAAAACGCTAAATTATACGAATCTCGAACTAGAATATCCGTATCGGCCCGTTCTAAGGAATCCCGAGTCAATCCAAGCACGCCGCCTCAAATTGCCTATCCTCTTTGTGGCGGCCATATTTACAGAAATATACTTAAACGTTTATGTTGTCGGCTGAAGGACTTTGTTTCCATGGCCAGCAATAACTTAAAAAAAAATGAACTCTCATTTTACTCCATCTTCAAAAAAAACAGACTGTTACGTTATATTTTCTCCAGAAATCGGAAATTTGGGTGCAAATGGTGCAATCATAAATTATGTTGGGAAGCAATAGCCCGTTTACTTTGATTGCGTCGCGAGCTACGCAGGTACCCACAGCCCGTGTGCGCCATGCACCCTGCACCACTCCTGTAGGTACGATAGGCAAAGCCTTCACTAGAAACGTTTGTTTTTTTTTTAAATATCTAATGATGGGACGAACAAGTTGTGCGCCTCATGGTAAGCTACACGCCTGTCCGTAACAGTTGCAGTGCCACTCAGAGCTTTAAATCGCAAAGATCTGAGGGGCACTGCCACTGCGGCCGTCACCCTGAGCACATACGTTGACAAGTCCCATGTGCCTGTAATTTCACCAGCACCCTTATCCTTCAAAACCGGAACACAGTAATGCTGACATTACTGCTTGGCGGCAGAAATAGGTGGCAGTACTGGACGAGCTCTACTGCTACTAAACGTTAACGTTTCCCCGCATGTGAGTTTTGTTCATATACATATTGTTTGCTCAAGTTCACTCGCGATCGCTCTACTGTTACCTATTTTGTAACAATGTGTTACACCATTGCCGTTTAGTCGAGTGTCCACCGGACAACGGATCAAGATTGCGTAAGGCCGTGTTCCTATTATGTCGTAACGTTTTATTTATCGTTGGACGACTGTCGCGTCTAGCCCGTTCCTATAGCACAACTATCTGTCGTGACTTTATCGTGAACGTTTATTTTATCGTTGAACGACTATCGTGTCTAGCTGTTCCCACTAGATCGTGACGACAATTTATCGGTTCATGGCAGCCGCCTTGTGGTTTGCACGACAGAATGGTTTGAATCTACGATCATCTGTCGTTACATGTTATCGTGACGTTTTATTTATCGTCATACGACTGTCGTTCTAGCTCTTCCCATTGTAACGACAATCTGTCGTTGTAACGTCTAAAAAGTCGTGGACGACAGTTACTCATGTTGTTCTATCTGTGAACAATTTCATTTAAATATGCAAGCGACAACACTTTAAATTGCACGATTATCTGTCGTCACGGCGTAATGGGAGCGCGCCCTTACTGAAACATTAGTTTTAGAAGTCGATGGGGAAAAAACTTCTTTCAATTCTTTTATGTGCCAGATTACATACATGGTATTATTGTTTACTGATAAATGCTGTAGGTGAAGGGTAAAGAACCTTAAGTGCCAGATGGTTTTCCTTTTTAATACGAGTTATATTAGAGTTTTAATAGAGATGTAATAATGAGGCTCTTAAATAAGGCATTTCAAATCAAACTTAAATAAAATATGGTATTAAAAAGCCAATTACGACGATAAGATTTAATAAAATTAATGTCTTTGTACTGTGGTATTTTTAGCATTCTAACATCTATATTCCGAAACATTGACCCAAGGTCCGTTGCCTCTCATCTACAGATGTATTGTTTTTTTGTTTATACATTTTGTATCTAGTCTTAGTGAATACCTCTAAAGTCTTTAATATTAAATAAATTTGGGGTATAAAAAAAAACAAATATTATATTACATATCTCAATATTATATTTATTAAAAAATATAGCCTAACTATATATATGACTTTATATTTAAATTCAATCAACAAATAACTCGCACGTTCGTCGAAACTGGAATAATCAACCTCAGTCTTCCAACACAGGAAACCCGCCAATGCGTAACAACAATGCAACGGACAAGCGCATGAGCATCACGAGGCGACCCTCTGCACGCACTCACTCCATAAATTATTTATAACATTGCCGTCACAAGCAAAAATACACTTTATCACCATTTCGTCAAATCGTCTATTGATTGGTTTTATAGGGTTCACACACTGACCCGATGCCGTGCGGTTGGCAAAGCGATGAATGTTTTTTTATTTATTTAGTTAACCCTTAGTAATGCACAAATCAGTCAGCTCTCTGGTGGTATTATCAGTAACAAGAGAAAATTTTAACTAAAAGGTATGATTATGGTGCAGGCTGCAAAATATATTTTATAGGTTTTTGGATGTAAGCCAATTTTAAAATAAAATTATACACTATGAAGCACCGTTTGAAAACCGCGCCGCGTCGCGACCGGTGAGTAGAACTTGATATCTCTCGATAGCAGTACTTTCACAATTAAGGTAATACAAATCAACATTATGCGTAGGTATGTCATCTACAAATATTCAATATCAACAGGCGATTCAACGAAGTTTACAACTATTTTATGATCATGACGACAGAACATTGCACCTTCAATTTTTTTATATTTAAAAACCAGATAAAATATTACACAAAAACATGCCTTCAAAAAGTCATTGATTTTAGCACTACTTATCCTGTCTGTATGTGACGATCAAAACTTAAAATACATGTTTACAACCCGTTCATTGACAACATTTGCACTAATCTACGCGAGAAGCGACGCGCTTAAGCAAGTACAGTTTTAAATTACATACGAAATGAAGCAGAAATTGAAATAGGAGAAATCACACAATTTAGCTAAAACTAGTGTTAAAGCGCATTTATAGTTGACCGGCTCACAATGTCGTCAAAATACCATTAACGTAAATGTCATAAACTAATACAGGCTTCGGTTTTAGTTCATAGGACACAATAGTTATATATGAACTTTACACTTGCAGCGCAAACATAAATACGGTTAAGTCAAGGAATAAATTTAGATGAAATCACGCGCAATGTAATAGTGGCAAGTAAAAATACGTTTTTGCGCCTTAATATAGCACTTGCGTGTTGTTATGGAGAGTATTTATACGCGCTAAAAAAAATAGCGTTTCCACTAGCTTTGTCCCCGAATAGCCTGATTTAACTGTTAAAACAATCGAAAGAAAAATATTCTTATAAAGGCGACAGCACACCGATTCGTTCAGGCCCCGCAAGCAACTGCCGTAGCCGTAACATGCGGTCACGGCAGAAGGAAATGCGGCCAACAATGCAAACAAAAATAGCGGCTAGGCAGACCAGCTGTGCCGCGCAGCGTTCACTCTGCTGTCGCCTTTACAAGGAACTACGACATGCCTCTACCAGAAATATAAATAAGGTGTAATCGTATTGTCTGAATGAAAAAACTATATTGAGGACCCTGTGACAGCCGCTGAGAACAATTTAATTGTGAGCTTTTAGATCTTTTCACACAGGACATCTTTACAATCGATTCCGTTACCGGTTCACTAATGCGGAGCACAAAGGAGCTTTCGCGGAACGACGTTCCGTCGCGTAATGATATATATGAAATCCGCGAATGTGTGTGTGAAAAAGAACTTTGTTAACGAGACCTGGAGTAATTCCTGATTCAAGAAGCACAGACTGTACAGTCAACAAGTAAACTTGTACAGAGTTAGTTTTTGTTATGAACCCAAAACTTGTTAACACGGAATACCCATAATCAAATAAACACTTCAATACGTTCGTCCTTCATCTATTGCCAATTTTTTTTTAAACACTCTCAGCCCCGCACTAGGGAAACCCTGTATCGCTGGTGTCATGGATACGCACACATTGACAATCACAAATTACACCCAACTCACGAGAGAAATAAATGTAGGCCATACAAATGTTTCTCTCGAACCAGGAATCGAACCCGGGACCTCCGCGTAGCAGTCCAGCATGGTAACCCGTTCACGGAAGTAATTACGACATTTACCAAAACGGGTGAGTTGAGATTTTGTTTTGGTAAAGGTAGTTATTTCGTACTTCCCATGTAAATCAATGAACATCTGATACAGGCTTGTACAGAAAGCGAAAAATTTACGTACAATATAAAGATCAATAACAACGTAACTTCGAATAATTAATAGATTCAGGCGTTACTTTGCGAAGACCGTGCTAATAAAAATTTAAGTAAATTCCGCATTTTCCAACTATTCCGCAAACACAGTGAAAGTTAAATTGAGCAAAATAGTTCAATACTCAATACTCAATACTTTATTGCTTTTCCATAAAGATAAAAAGGTGTTACAAAATATAAATACAGAACGTTTATGGACCCTGTGGGGCACAGCAATTGAGAGGGAGGCATTCTTTTAAATTACAATTTTTTAAATGATAATATTCAGTAATTACTATTGAGGTACGGTAGTATATTATTTTATAATCCGTGTAAACATGCATTTAAGTATTCATATGTACTAATTAGGTTAATATAATGTTTTTATTTATTTGTATTTGTTTGGGTATCTATTTATGTAGATATAAACAATTTAAATATTATCATTTAGGTATTCCTGTATAGTATAATATTGTGTTGTAGTTGCGCTTGTATTGAACATTTTGACTAAAAACTCTCTATTTTGACAAAACAATTAATTAGTTTATATAGAGGTAGAGTGGAGAAATTAACTGCATGAAAAACATATTCGACACAAGCGCATGATTTAACCTTCACTGGGTTCGCATAGTAGCTAAATTTATTTACTTCCATTTTTATTAACAAAACGTTTTGCTGACGGCATTTTCAGGTAGAATCCGTCTCGTAAACAAAAGCTCGTTATTGTTTATATCTGTACGGACTAACACCTTTGTACTGAGACACGTTGAAAACGGTTAAAAGTTATTTTCGAAGAGATGATATCATTGTTGGCCGTAGCAGATTTGCTGATGATGCTTCGAATTACATAGTTGTTTTGCAAGTTGTGCATCGTTTTAAAAACCAACTTCTAAGCATGTTCAACGTCTTCACATCTATAAAATTGTTATGTAAATTACAATATTTTAACCGATGCACTCAAAAAATTCGTCAAATTGTAAATTTTTACTAATACATTTGGAAAATTACGTCACGAAATAATGATCGATTTGTAATACAGAATAATTTTGCGCTTAATAATGATGATTTATACAAAGTGACAAGAAACTGAACGGATTGTTTTATCCATGAAAATGTGAACTAAACCAAATAAGTTCACGCTGAATTTCAAACTAGAATTCAAGGTGTTCGATTTAGGGGGCTGTTCTATTCATCACCTTTTGAAGATACTTAAGGTTCAAAAGCAACGTTTTAAACGCGAAAATGAACGACTGTAAATCAAATAGCTTTGGAAAAATGTTGAGTTATATAATACAGTCGCTATAGTTGCTAACGCCGCTATAATGGTAGGCACCTGTTTAACATTGTAAACCGGCATAGTAATATTTTCAGGGCACACGTTTTATATAATTGTTGGCTTCAGAACTGACGTTTAAAACAATACTTTTGACCCAAAAGGAAAAGAACTTCCTTCAATTTGTAATACAGTTCGATTTTTTTATATCTTTTGATGGATAACGCATTTTCTTTTAGTTTCGTCATTGGTTGTATGTGGTGAAGTATATAAAAACCTACAAGGTGGACGATGGTGTCCACAAGAACCATATTAGCATACGGAAGAGATATGCATGTTCCCCGGTCACTACACGTGAGATTGCAAATTAATTAACATAACTCAACAGAACCGAAAACTGTACAAGTCCCGTAAGTATTAAATTTAGTACACGAAAAGATAAAACACGTACACACTTAGAAATAACACTGAAATGATTTAAAAGCATTCAATGTAACAGTGGAAGATGTGTAAAAATCTTAACTAAATTACGAGAAATTCATGTTTAATTTGTACTTCCTTTTCTCGTGTGTTTGGCCCCAGAATTTGTGTCAAAACTATTTGGTGAAACACGACTCGCATTTCTATTAGTGCGCCGATACGGGCAATTTAATCAGGCGACTAGCAAACTACGTGGTTCGACGGTAACTCGAAAGGTTCGCTTTACAAAGATTTTAACACCGCAAAACTTACTACAAATAGAAAACCAAAAAACCGCCAAAAGCAAAGTCTGCCGTTCCAATAATGTTATAAAGAAACAAACCAAAAGAACAAATTTTGCTTTTTCGGCTCACAAGAACTAAACGCAAAAATAATAATAATATCAAACCAAAATAAAACTTAATCATTAACGATACTGAAACAAAAAAATTGTCTACAAATTAATTTCTTACAGATTTCAGTTCATTCATATTTGGCATAAGCGGATTGTCTAGCGGACAAACAATGAACTAAGACAATGATCTCATGGGATAATTCTTACCATTAAGTAAACGGTTTAAAACTATAAATAAAAGAATTTAGTATTGTAAACACTAACGCGGACGTCTGGCGGGACGTTGTCGCGAGTGAAACGGCAAACTAAGGCACTGTTGCAGTATTCCGTTGCAGTTCCGCACGACGACGAACACAATTAAACTTCCAACGTAGAAACAGTAAGCAACACTAAAATTCTAATTAAGGTACAGAATCCGCAATCGCATAACCGCGTCGTCTCCCTCTATCGACCACGCAACACGGAGCTTGCATTCACTAGCGCTGCAACCAGGTTCCGCTCGAGTGCTCGACATGCCGCCTCCTTCGTTAACCCTCTCCCTATTCTCCAATTACGTCTAATATTAAAATTACCTTGATATGCACTTATCAATAGGTTTTTACAATGACATTTGTGCTGTACACTATGTAGCGCGGAGCGACCGCGCATCGAGGGGTAATGTACTTACACTACTTTAGAGACGGCTCCCTGCGGTGTTGCAATTTGTACTTTATTCAAATCGAAATAAAAGCGTCTCTCGACGCGCGCCCGCCTCACATGGAAATATTTACACTGACAACTAAACGAACCCATAATGAAACTTAAATAAGATGAAAACAAAATATTTGGCAAACGATCGTCTCACAACGGGAGTGTGCAATGCAAACGAGAGCCCCTGACAGTGGCGTGAGTGTCGAGTGGTCACTAAAGCTAGCTTTACAAGTAAAATCGAAGGCCGCTAAGATATCACCGGTCATTACGTCGTAATATGTACACTGAGGGCCGCGATGCACTGATTTGAGCGACTTATGTACACGTGTCCGCGGCCCCTCTCCCCCACTACACCGTTTCACTCTAAAAGAGTCCGCTACTTAACGCCCGGCGCAATTTCCGAAGGAATTCCGACCATTTCACACTAAATTTCACAAAAAAAAACGACTTTAACACTATGCACTCTAAGAGCTACATCCTATTAAGACAGTTTCACTATTTACTATATAAGCTACGTTCGTTGCTTTACAATGGTTCGGTTTTTTGGAGGTATTAAAGGTATTGTGGTACTTGTATTCATACACTATTATAGAGCCGAAATTCCTTAAGCTAATCGGGCCGTGCGTCTTAAATACATCTTTGAGGAACATATCCATAGTTTTTAAGCGTTTCAATTCAAGTCGTCGGCACGTTCATACTGGTCGCTCTTTACTCTGAAGTTTACTAACTGTCACTGCGTTTAGTTTTGACGCTTAAACGTTGTACATAAAGTACAATTTCAACGGAGAATTTCGACAGCTCGCATACAGCAGCGTAGGACCGTGGCATAGCGACCATGATAAACCTTCCTGTCAAACGGGTTTAACACCGCGCACGTATCTAACTTTACACAAATAAGTACGCACTGTTTCCATAAATATACTTATTTCCACGCACCATATCGCACATGACAACTAACATAGTATTATCTCTAAATTGCTATAAGTTATATTAATATTACCTATTTAATTTCAAAGTGACAGTGTTGTCCCGTCACTTTGAAATTAAATCGTATACGAATGACATACAAAAATATAGTGACATTTTGGAGATAAATTATTAATATACTGCAATTTTTGAGATAATACTATGTTAATTGTCAAGTGCGATATGTTGAAACGAACCGTGTTCGGAGTCACGGACTGTCACCACAACTAATAGATACATAAAGATCCCATTATTTTCGTTACTATTGTACTCATAGTACAGGGAAGATCCCAGTTTGAAACCAGGTTTTTAGTGTGATTATCAAGCACGTATACGAATGCGAAGCAAAACCCGCGTGACAGTGAAAAGAGCTCCAGCGTCTTGGGCACTAGAACTCGAAGTCGAAGAGCTCGGAAAGGCCCTCGTCGTGGTCGAGACAAAAGCCGTAGTCGGTCGCCGACATCGGCGGCTCCAGCGCCAGGAATGGTTCCAACTCCAGTGTCTCTGTGAACGTATGACAGTTGCCATATTAGTTAAGAGTAAAAATTGTTTATTAAAACACAACTGCATCGGTATTCGATACCTCCAATTAACACTACGCCAAGTTAATTTTTCGACCTGTTCTGTTTTTATTTTGTTTTGTTTCTTTTTTTTTCACAAAACTCGTTTTTGAATTAGTTTTTTTTTTTTACAAAATTTGGGGAGCATTACATTCGTAGATAAATACAACTGTTTACAAAAATAACAGAAAATTACCAAAAAATATAATAGCGTAGTGTTCATAAGATGTATCCACATGTAAGTTTTTTGACCATCGATACCGCGAGACGAAATTTTAAAAGGATTTATTTTGCAAATTTAAACCGTATACGCGTGTCGAGAAGTTATTACGACAAATGCCAAATTATTGCGATATACAGCGTTGGACGGTGGCCACATAGTGTACTAATTACTCTAGAAAAGCGGAAATACGGTTCGCTTAGCCTTGGTAGTTAGCATCCAGCTAAGTCGGGTCCATATTTAAAAAAGCGGTAAAACGGAACAGACGAAAAGAAATCTCGACTCGCCTTATAAACAATAATTTATAATTAAACTTAAAAAACTCATAATTTATAATTAAAGATTATAACTGCGACACATTCGTGAATAAATGACAAAGATATTATAATTATAACACACAAATAAATTTCGAGGCTGAAATAAAACATTACGTTATTACATTACATAATTTACATAAATAAATTAGCATGATAAATAAAATAAACAAACATATCAAAAGTTATTCGTAAGTGATTGTTACATATACAACATTATTCACAATATTATAAAAAGAGGGACATACACTATCCTGCAAGCACACACAAACAATGACGTTCTTAACACACCAAACGAAGCGGGGTGATGTCGTAGCGCGGTTTGTTTCCATACAAATTAAAGTGTAGCCAGTCTCAACTTTGTATGTAAACCGCTGTCCATAATACTTTTTTTCAGTAGAATAAATCTACTTGTGCGTAGCTTATTCTACTGACATACCTAACACATAAAAAATTACAACATTTTTGTCACAATTAACCTTACCTTTACATTTTTTCAGTTCTTAAAAAAAGTATATTATTCAGAAAACAATATCCATGTAGATAATGTTGTTTGACATTAAAGCGACGGTATACGACTTAATCACAGATCGAACCATCCCATATGTATTGTCGTTTAATAGATATCATAAAATCATAGTATAGGTCCCAATAAACCGTCGTTAAATATACAAATACAATAAACAAAAAGTTAGCAAGGTCCACAAAGCATCCCCCGACAACCTGCGTAACTGTGCAACAGCTGAGAAGACACTGATCAAGCTCATTGTCGAAGCATAGGCGAACGATGCTATGGAACCTAGGGCCTTAGCGCAAACGCATCTGAGAAACGAGTTAATTGAGTACTATTCAATATATAGGGTATTTATTTAAAGATTAGAATATATTCTCTGCACACCCTCTGCATCCCCTATAATATTTTTACGGAAATAATAAAGGTTCCGAATAACAAATGAAATTGCAACGAACTGTGGCTAACTGTAATACTAAGTTGCGTTAAAATGAGTTACTGAACAATAAACACAGAATATACCGATAAAATTATTTAGCAACAACTCGAGAACTTGTTCAAGTCACAATTCTTGAAAAAAACTGTACTTCCGAATAATATATTAAAGGTCCGAAAAAAATACTAACTTACCGATGTATGGTTTTACAAGCACTTTGGTGCTTGTAAACTTTGGTTTATGAAACATAAAGTCGCTTTTACTTATACTATAGATTTTGTTATACAAGTGAGTTATGAACAATTTCCGCGGCAATGAAAATTCAACCTAACATTTACTTAATTATTTATTTACATAATTAACTGTTCTGTGATGTCATTGTAATATTTTAATGTGCAATAAAAACAATACTAAATTAATTATTAATTCACTTGACTTCGAGGTTGTTATCAGCAGATAGAAGTTTAAAATTCTGCATAGAATAACGAAAGGTTATCGTCAAAATGTCGGATGACATGTCGGCTAACACATAGATCTCATTGAGGTATATTGATTAACACAGCCACAATATGTTCGCTTATAAACGTGGCGCAAAGTTCTGTAATAAGCCAAAGTTACCAAGAACCATAAACTTTTCTATAGTGAACTATTATTTAATTAATGAAGTAATTTTCTCAGATGTAGTGCACTACGGCCTATTCCTGGCTTTACATGGAATAGTGAAATGTTACGCTAGTTTGTTAAAGGATTTGTGAGAAAAATGATAATGTAAAACCATGTACCCATGTGTGAAACCGGGTGGTTAGATGACGATATTTGATCGAACACTAGGTTTTAAATTGATTTGCAACAAAACCACCGTTGTGATACTGTCAGACCGTAGTTAAATGATATATGGAATTAACAAATTACCCAAGATCAACACATTTTAAACTTTGTATTGTTTGTGCAATTGTGTATTTTGACGTTTAGTGGAATGACATCTACAATCGATTGCGCATGTCATTCCAAGAAACATGTAACATTTAGAAATTTTATTTATGTCACAAAAATGAACCTTAACCGTTAAAAGGAGATACCAAAACCATTTACCCAATGAACAAACAAATGTGCAGAGAAGTACCTTATAACGTTTGAAGATTCAGAACGAAAGTTTTGTGCAATTCGATTGAACCAAAATGACGTTTTCATTAATTTTAACAACATAAATGATTACAGCGAGTGTTGTTAAACTCCATGCCCTGTGCTCATACAAACAATAGAAAAGATGTTTGAACACATGTCCTATCTCAACTTTGATAGATAATAGGTGTTGTATAAACGTCATTTTAGCTACAACAAAAGTGGTATTAAAATTAGATAAAGATGTGCAGGTCGTCGTTAGAGATGAGCGTTGTTACGAGTTAGTAGGCCCGGGGCCGCCGTGAGCTGAATCCCATGGTGCTACAGAGAGTTAACTGCAGCCTCACGGGTTGCAGCGCACGGAGACACCGCACTGCAAACCTCCCCAGCTTCGATGATGTTATGTACACGTCGATCCGAAGTTTACAGCACACCGTGATAAGATCGTATTAATTTATCCCTTCCATAAAAACGAGACTTACTCTCCAAACTATTATTATTACTGACTTGTATACCCATTAAGAGCGGTTACACTGGGCGTCTTACAGGCAGATTTTACAGGCGGTGGTAGCGCTACAAATGTACGATTGTATCGCTGCTAAGTCGCGTGTGTGTAAAGGTAAAAGATTAGCGACGGCATCGCAATTGAATCGCTGCAACGCGCTGCCAAAAGTAGCCGCCAGTCGTGCATAACCGCTCCAAATTACAGTTAATTATTTCATTTTAATATAAATGTCTGGACATGGTCCTAAATTGGTGAGAGTCTAAAAATAGTAAAAAACCAATTTATAATAAAAAAATAAAATGGTCATTTCAAGAAGTGGTCAATTCAAGAAGTGGTAAATTCAAGAAGTGGTCAATTCGAGAAATGGTCAATTCAAGAAGTGGTCAATTCAAGAAATGATCGATTCAAGTAAAAACAAAGCAAAGAGACTTATTAACAATAATTCTCTTGCGGAGTCGAAGCTACAAAATCTCGATCATCGCAGAAAAGTAGCCTGCTTGTCGGTTTTCTATCGGATACATTTCGGGGAGTGCGCGCAGAACTTTTCAATTTAGTTCCACCCTCACCTTTCCTCCTTCGGTCGACTAGACGGTCCGGAGCACTCCATTCTTATGTCGTTGATATTCCACCTATTCGCACTAAGCGCTTTGCTTATTCCTTTCCGATGCATACGGCAAAGGAATGGAATGCTCTACCGGCAATCTCATCTGTATTTCCCGAAAAGTACAGTTTGGGGCTATTCAAGGCTAGAGTGAATAGGCATTTTTTAGGCAAACGCGTCCCATCGTCGCTCAACATCAGCTGAGATTGTGGCCAAGCGTGTGTCATGTGTGTGTGACATGTAGAAGACGCCCCGTAACCGAACTGAAATTGCAGACATTCAATCTACTACTAAGTTGGAGAATAGACTTCTTATCCAAGCCGTTGGGAATCGTGTTATATGAAAGCGTCTCCATTAGTACGTGGAGAAGCTTCTAGGTGACGAAGGGTGGAGAAAGCAAGCTGTTGAAGAAGGTACGCAGCAAATGCTGCAGACATTTGGCGTACAATACTTATTATTAAGTAGAAGAATAGAGTTCAAGCGGTTAAAAATCTTATTATATAGACCCTTAACCACTGGTATTCACAAAGAAACTGCCACCAGTATTATTATATACAACGAAGCTGATAGAACTTACTAATATCCGTAGTAAAATTTTGCAGCACATTACTCTAATACCATATCTAATTCGTAAATGGAAATACTCTTGTGTATTGTTGTTGTCTATGGTTGGGATAAATTAAGATGAGAAATATAGTCAAGTAACAAATAAAAAACTTACAAAAATAACTGGCACCATAAAGAAAGATACTTGTCAGACTTAACTTTCATAAACGCAAAAGACGATGTTACGTACACAGATTAGTTTTACAATTGTTATGTATAATAAATCATATATTAGAATAATACATTATTTACAAATGAAAATGAGCTACGTAAAACAGATTTCACACACACTTGTTAATTCGTATGCACAAAAAAAGTTAAATTGACACTTATCAGTGTTATAATATTATTGAAACTTTTCCCTGCCAAGTTTTACTCCCAATAATATTTCACTGAATAATACAATTACTAAGGCCCGTATTTATAAACAGCTCTTAAAGTCCGGTATTAATGGCATGTTTACACAGGGTCAACTGCTACCTTCGAAAAAGGCACAGTCGACTCACTGTTTACACCAAGTCGAGCAAACTACAGTCGTCAAACGATTCAGTGTTTACACTGAGTAGTTTAGCGCTTTCAGCGGGCAAGCCAAGGCGACATGTCGACCTACTGTAAATACATCATAAATATGCCACTCAAAGCTCAAGATGCATGTCAATCTTCTCTATTAATAAAGCATCTCATACAATATCCAAATACTTAAGTCATCTGCATCTAGAATGATACAATTACCAAACTAAGGGCCGTATTCCAGAACTCTACTCAATGCTCAAGTCAGGACTTGTATATACTTCAATAACTAATATTATTTAACGAATACTATTTCAAGCACTGGAAATACAACCTTAATGGCAAGGACTTGAGTATGATTTCTAGTGCTTTAAATCATACACAAGTCCTGACTTGAACATTGAGTAGAGTTCTAGAATACGACCATAAGTGACCAAGACCCCTGGATGTTATTGAATCGGAATTGATAACGATGTTATCAATAAACGTTCCTTAGCACTTAAGCTACGAGATATTAATTTTAATCAATCAAGTGAGATGATGAGAAAATGCCAGTGATTATAGTATATTAACACTGGAGAGTTTGAGAAACATTTGTAGATCAAAATGACATCTCAGCCGATATGCACTTAATGCAGGGCTTGGCTGTTTATTTATAGAAGCCTAAAAGTTCTGACTCATTCAACTGAATTACGAGAAGTTCAGTTTTTCATCGACTCAATAGCATTCCTTTTTTTTTTCACTGGGATATGAAGATGTTTCAAAATAACGGAAGGTATCTGGAACAGTTCTCCACCCCGTTGCGGTAAAAAATGAGCTTTATAACATTTCTGAACGTCTCATAATAATGATATACACTTTAAGGCAGGGGTTTCAAAAACATATCACACTGCTTTCAAGTGGAAAAATCAACATCCTACATATTGTCTACCCAAAAAACAGGAAACAGACAAACATTTATTGATATAGATATTATATCACACGAGAACACGTAAGACGTGACCCTCATTTTGATGAACAACATGCCGGATATCGAGATCCCGTTTTAACAAGTTAGTAAAGGATGACATGGATTATGACGTGAGCACCAAGCATGCGTGGAAAAGGTCAATTGACGGGAGCATATGTACGACGAAAGTTAAACATTGATTCAACAGTGTTCATAGTGTACGAGCTTTATAATGGTTTATTCCTCTTCCATTTAGATTGTAGGAATACATTTATGTACTTTGAAACACTGAGAAAAATAATACAATAGTTTGAAATTACGAGTCAAGACCATGTAGGTATGTCTCGGAACAAACACACACATTCTGGTCCTGGTATTCTGAGTGGAGGCAAAGTACAGGAAATTATTCACTATTTGAGGCCAGGTAACTGGTGCAAGTAATTGTTTGGCACTCTACGATTATAATACAAATAAAACGGCGCGTGCATGCGTCAGGCTCGAAAATAGATTACTCCGGCGAACATATCGTCCCTTATATGATAGATGTAACTTACGTGTGACGAAAATGATCTATTAACTCAATAATACAAGGTGAAAATCTGAAGAAAAGTATGTAAATAACTTCCGTTTTTGTCATAATCGTATGTTACATCTATTCGTGTCAGAGTGGACGAAATATAATCCGACGAAAGAGGAATAAGCCTTTATAACCGGATAAAATAAAAAAATGTTCGAAAATTGGACGTTAACGAACGCTCCCTAATCAGATCAAATTACAACCAAATCTGTCTGTAAGTGAGCTGCGTAGTAGCCGCGAATCTTGACCGTCGCACAGCGCGCCGTGGAGCTAGAACTCTGACTGTGATGTGACGTCATACACATGTCACAGCCAAAGTGCTAGCCGCACAACGCGCTCCGGTCCCTCGGAAAGCCTGTGTGGGAGGAAATCGTTTAACCCTGCCTACATTACTTCAGCTAATAACAGTTATTATTATTTCTCGATGAACTAAGCGGCTAGAGCAGATGCGTATTCACTGAACTTATATTTGTGTACCTTCAACTGTTAATGACATCAGATATGTATTGAATTTGTTATAAAATTTATCCCAAACACCACAATATGTATCGTATGTACGTAAAATAAATTATTTTGTTACTTATAGGCAACAGCATAAGCGACAAAATTCATTGCATCCGTTTTGATTTGGATTATATTTCTAATTTAAGAACTACAATGCTTTGGACAGGACAGAATGGCATCTACTACAATGACAAGAGCTTAGCTATTAAATTAAAAAAGAAATTTGATGCTTTACAAGTAAATATACATTTTTACCTTCTCCCTTAAAACTATTGGATCTCTTTATACTACTGGAATTGCTTTAGAATTCTTTTCATTTCTAGTTCGTGAATATCTTAGGCAAACAAATATGATTCATTCATTCGTTCACCACAGAAAATTAAATGTTTGTTTCACATTTGGCAAGAAGGCAGAAAAGGCGTAAGCAAGTACCTGTCTCCTGGTCCTCGGTCTGCAGCTGGAAACGTCCGCCGCCCATGATGGGCGCGAAATCGTCGCTGTCGGCGATGAGCGCGTTGCGCAGCCGGCCGCGCGCGCCGCCTGCGCACAAGCACGGGTTACTCTATTGTACTTCCCGCCGGACGCACACGCACGCTTCCAAGCGATTTCATTATAATAATACTAACAAAACCGTTTATTTGCCTCGATTCCTTAATAAGTAAATAGGTATATGTTACATTACGTATTCCAGAGACTTGCTGGAAATTATGTTGCACTGGCAAAATAGCTTTACAAAACATAGTACGTTAATGTAAATGTAATTCATGTAACAAGTAAAAACTATGATTACTATTAATACTAAGAGAAAAATTTTCCTTCGACCCGGTAGAATTTGAATCCACGACCATGCTGCACCACAGCATTGCTCATACGAATTGAGCCACGGGTCAGGTTACAAAGTTGTCGAAATTCTCCAACGTGTTTTTGTTATAGTTATATCTTTGTACTGGCTTGCGGCATTCATCGCCACTAGTGACATGTAGTGAGAGATTTTTTAAAAGCCTCACTGCAGCCGGTATCTTTTCAAAAATGTCTCACTAGACGTCAGTTCAGTATCAGACGTGGGATTTAAAAAGGTCCGCACTCAGCAACGTGCAACAGCACCGCTGATGACATAATACATACAACCTGCATTTATAAAAAGAATTGACTGTTTTCCCAAGGTTTTTAGAAAGCTATGCCAGAATAGCCACTGACTGTCGGGCGTCGCTTGAGGCGGCGGCGGTGGCTGCAACGGCGTAGGGCGCGTCAGCGGCGAAGCCAGCGGCAGCGTGGGGTCCGTCACGCACGGCGTGCACACCACCAGGCTGCGCACGGGGCCATCGGGGTCGCGCTTCACCGGCGTCCTGCACAACACCACAGTCCAACATCAGCGACGTCCGGAGTTAGCAGGTTCCATCACGGCGTTTTCTTTACCGTTTAAGCGAGTGACAATTGATTATCAACACTCCTCGACGACAAGTAAACTCGAACCATTTTCGTAGGAGCCCAACTAGGCTATCATTATTTTTAGATCGGACTAATTCTCTACGGCGTGATTAAGTAACCAACTGTTAGTTTTTGTTCTTTAATCGATTATACTCAAGTCAAGTAGGTAACTTAAATGTGATAGTTATTGCAAGTAATAAGCGTTTTACAGTGAATAATTGACTAATCGACTGTGAATTGGCAATCAGTACTATCTCAATTTTGACAACTTTACAGGATGAAGAAAAAATCATTTATATAGCATCTGGTTTATTAAATAAAAATACGTAGGGTCGTATTCCAGAACTCTACTCAATGCTCAAGTCAGGATTTGAGCAGACTCGAGTATGATTCCAAGCACTGGAAATACGACCCTAATGGCAAGGACTTGAGTATGATTTCTAGTGCTTTGAATCATACTCAAGAACTGACTGAGCATTGAGTAGAGTTCTAGAATACGACCCTTAGTGTACATACACACACGTGTAATAAAAATATTTAAAAACTACGTATTTTTATTTAATAAACCTGATGCTATATAAATGACGCAAATAATTTTTTCTTCATCCTGTAAAGTTGTCAAAATTGATATAGCACCAATTGCCAGTTCAGTCGTAATATAGATTTCGTTAACACAACATACAGCCAAACTCACTCATGGGCAAAAATACACAATAATAATGTATACAGAGCATGGTAACCCAATGGGAAATGTTGCCTCTCTATTGAAAGATTTACAGTTAGAACCCCTGTGGTGCCGCATATGTATGACTACAATTTTTAATATTCTTCAGTAACAATACCTGTCTCTAACGGTGAAGAAAAACATCGTAATGAAACCTGGACATCGTCTTGTCCTATACTTGTGTGCAATGGTAAGAATAATGGCTTTTTTAAAATGTATCCATGGTGATCCAGGCGTCTGCACTTACGTGAAGTCGGCCGTGATGGAACAGGAGGTGACGGACTGCAGCTGCGCAATCAAAGGTGCCAGTAAGGCCTTGTTGTCCTCCAACAGCGGGTCGGCGGGCAATATTGACGCTGCAACACATTAAATATTGTCCATTGAAAATCTTCGTTGTAGCCTATTCTCGGCTGCGACTTTTTCTGCAACCGTGACTTGTACCCATTTGGAAAATAGAGAGGGCACTCGAGACGGCTCACCCAAGGCACTAGCCTCTTGAGAACTGGATGAAGTCAGTGTCAATGGTCTGTGACAACCTTGTACACTGGCTAATCTGGGGTCAGAACCAGAACTTAGAAGGCTCCTGTGCACGCACAAGTTATCGTGCCCTTCTCGTATACCGTAAGTGTCGTATTATCAAAACTTATGAAAAAAGGAAGGTGATATGGTTTGAGCTGAATGTGATGTACTTCACAGCAGCAATGGACATCGGGTCTAATACAAAAACCACGAAAAAAATGTCCAAAGTTAACCTATACAAACGTAGTGACATGTAACGAAATATAAAAAACTAAAACATTTAGTTTAAATTGTAACGTCATTGCAGTACTGCCTCATTTTGATTGCAACAATTTAAGTGCCCAAAGACACCATATTCAGCTTCTACTGGAAACTTAACGAAATGCACCATATTTAGCTTCAACTGAAAATTACTTGACCACTAGAGTAATGGAATAGCCTTTCTCGTAAATATTAATAATTTTTTATATATATTATTATGTCGAATTTTGTACAAATTCACTTAAAGGTATAATAAAGAGTTGGGCAGATACATACATACAAAGATTACTATGAATGTGAAAATAAGCGAGTACTATAAGAAATGTACCGATATTCCAACTAAACGTAAACTCAAATGTCCGTAATTCCGAAAACCGATTTATAATAAAACCGTTACGCTATAGAGTAATTTTGATGCTTTTTACAAAGACAAAATTAGCTTTTATTTTGTAATCTTCGTAAAAAAAAATACATTTTACATTATGAAAATTCGAGCAAACGTTATTTCGGGCAAATGCCCATTCGGGTAATCCCAAGCCGTAAAACGAGTACAACAATATTTTGTTAGTTATTGCTAACGTTTAATAAAAAAATAATTTTAAAAAAAGGATTAAAATCAAAGCGACTCTATAGTTTCTTTCTTCTAAATATTTCAATCGGTTGTGGTTCGAACAATTGAAATTGACCAAGAACTTTATATAAGCTTCTAGAAACTGACGTAATCTGTCTCTTTCCATCTATTGCGTATGTATCGTGTAGAAAAAGGACAGTTAGCTATTTGATTATTTTGTGTGCTTTTGTAATTTATATTTACGATTCAGTTATATATAAATTAAATACTATAAAACTGTACAAAATAACACTTTTAAATGAAAACTATTATAACACAATATATTTGTTCAGTGAAAATATGATACAAAATCCTGTTTTTACACTTTACTGCAGTAATTTTTACAAGTTATTATTATTGGTACTGCATGATTGACAACCGCGCTGTCAGTCGAACAAACGAAGACTGTTGCGCGATTGACGCTCTGTATGCGATGTAAACGCTGCGGAAGCAGGTGCGGACACTTTTTAGCGCGAATCCGACGTCCATTTATTGGTAGGTCAATGATTTTTAGTGTTTTGGGGTTACAAAAAATAGTTTTCTGTTGAATTCATTACGATCGAAATCAACGTGTAATATTAGTTCAAAGATTCGATGTCGCCCTTTTAAAACGCTAATGGAGAATTTTAGTCACTGACGATCTCGGTTACCTAGCGCTGTGAGAGATGTTAGGAAGTCCCAATTTGGGAAAAAATCTTCTCTAAATTGTTTCTGATGTGCTCCTTAGTGTCTTCAATGTTTAATTAATTGCTCTAGTACTCATAGCAGAGGGGATTCCCTAGTTTGAGACCTGGTGATTGACATTATTTTTAGACACATTATCATGATCCAATAAGGCTCCACCCCTTAACCACGTAACATATACTAAGTGCCTTAAGAATGTATGATTTATAATTTGCCATTTCAACTCGTCTTCAGATTGGGTTTTACATTACAGAGTTCAAGAATTCAAATCATATAGGTTTCTAGGGTGCACGAAAGGAGCCCCCCGGCACGACGTACCATTACTTTTCTGTGCATCTGGGCATGGGCAATAATAGGTGAGTAACTTACAGCAAATGGCAATATCTTTCTTTCACCACATTGGCAAGCATTATAGTGTATGCCATTGATACGATAATAAGGTGTGGCAGTCTGCCACGTTATTATTATTAAATGCTAATGAAAACAGTTCCTTTCCAATTGCTGTCAAATATTATTTTTAAGTAAGAAGGTGATAATTCTTATGTTTTGAACAAAACTCTTTGTGCCAAACAAAATCGATACATCTACATATGTTTAATTCACAGCCTAATTGGTTTTACCAACTGCTTCTCAAGCAGAATCCGGACTAGCACCTCTGAGTTTTTTGGAATTTACGCACCATCGATACGATAAAAAGATATAGGCTCCATGTATTCATTCAATAATTTCATGAATTAAAAAACAGTGTAAAAAAAATTGTGTAAGCGTGTTCTGTTCTGTCGCAATACTCTTTTCATACGCGCATTATATACACATTACGCATGTCTCTCATTGTAGTAGACAGAGACCATGGACCTCCACGCCCTTCACCCGCATCAGTCTTTTCATACACACCCGTTTAGTACTTATGACCTGACCTTTTGAAACCTGGGTAAAATATGTACACCGAGTTCATCTTTTCCCTACGTTTCTCCACCCGCATTCGGTCTATAAATATTTAAAACAATTCTTACAAGGTGTAGGTGTAGGGGGTCGTTCCTTCGGACAGAGATACACTTCAATTTCACCGGACATGGACTTCAAATGTATCATGTAGCCCTTTTCGTCGGGGTGCGGTACCTGCAAATGAAAATAGGCCGCTGTTCTAGAAAGCAGGAACGTAGCAAAGAAATATATTAAAATACCCAATACATTCAGTTCTTCACAATTATTCAATCAGTTTTGCGACTCTAGGATAATACATTAAATTTATTCATGTATTTACAATAATCATTGCGAGTTCTATTTGTGAGGATATTAAGAAGTGATGTTATGTTGTGCACACGGCAGAGAAGCTTTTTTAATTGTCTACTGTTGATATTAAACGAGCTTCACTCGGGTCTATATCACAGTTTCAATCAATGAAAAACATTAACTTTACCAGATTTTTCCTTAAATATCAGTACTGAATAAGAACACGGGCTCCGTTCTCAAGGGAATTTAAATCTCCATGTCTATACAATAATACATCATTCATATCAATCATAGTAATCTATTTAGAACGTAATATCGCTTGTACAATGATTTGGCAACACAGCACAAGCTTGTTGTTTTTGCTGTCAATCTGGTGTGTACAAAGAATACATGTAAAATACAGCCAGGATATGTCATGGTTAGTATGTATTAATTAGTAATCTATTAGTGTATTAACTGTTAGAATTCTACAAATATGTAATAGAAAGTCATTTATAGTCAATCAGAATAGAATATAGAATGTCAGTCATAGTGGTTGAGGGAAAAAGCAATCCCCGTGTGCGTCTGTGAAGTTGCAAAACCACGTGGCGAGGACGGCTTCACAAAGAGGAAGCCCACCAGCCGCAACCTTTGTGGCACAGCACCGACAGGATCGAACTTTTTGCGGCGTCCGGGCATACCGTCGACGCTGCTGTACCTGTCGCGATAGCATTTCTCCACGAAGTTTGAGAAGATAGTGGAGTACATCGGACCAAAAGCCAAATACGCCCTGAGACTCGAGCGGTTGGAGTCTCGCCACAACGTGAATTTCAATTCGTTTGTGGTGAGAGGTCCGACCAAACATCTGTCCCTTCATGAAGGAAGAGTTTTGGCCGGTTACCTGACACCAGATGGCGCCACAAATCGCCGACAAGTGCAATTCGCGTCGATTAGTTAATTAGTTTATTACATTGTATGTATGTTAGACCTTAAGGTATATTTTATATGGGTCATGTGGCCTGAATTAAATGAATAAATAAAAAAGGAATATCTACACGGTATTGCACGACCGGCTTTTCAATGAAGCGAACCACCCGCATCGCGCGGTCTACACATACCGAAAGCCTCGTGTCTGGCGGCGCCTTGATAGGTATGACGGTCTGGTTGCGGAAGTCGCGGATGGAGCGAAGGTCCGCGTAGGTGATGTAGGCGCGGGCTCCGTGCTCGGCAGAGAGCCGCGCCAAGGCCGCCTCGGCCGCGGCCACCGCCCGGGCCACGCGCGCCTCGCGGGCCGACAGCGCCCGCACCTCGCGCCGCAGCCGCCTCGCCGCCGCCTCGTCCGCGCCGCCGCCGGCGCCCCCGCCTGCCGACAAGCCGTATTGTCATAACACGACGCAACACGTCCTACGAACATTCGCGATCACATTACTGGCCAATAATTATCCATTTCCTGGCCATATTTTCAACCGACTTCAAAAAAAGGAGGAGATTCTCAGTTCGACTGCATTTTCTTTTCTTTGTATGTATGCTACGCGATAATTCTGGCACTTGTGAACCGATTTTGATGATGCTTTTTTTATTGGAAAGAGGGTACCTCGGTAATGGTCTCATTTAAATTTGAAGAAAATATTCCACCACTAAGGGTGGCAAACTAGGGATTGAATCTGGTATCGCGCACTTTCCAGCAACCGATTTCAATAAAATTGGCAAATAGATTCCACCAACTTTTAAGGTCGATTGTATTCCGTATTGAGATTACCTCTTTACACAACTTTAGGGATAAAAGGCTTTTGGGACACGAAAATTTAAAAAAATTGGCATCTCTGGGTACCTACTTAAAATATGTACTTAAACAGGAATTTTAAATTTTTTAAACGTTTCCTAAACGAACGTACCATAACAAGAGTCAATTATTGACCTAACATTCATTACCAAATTGCAGTTTTGATGCATGACGCAATTCATAAATATGGAGTATATAATATAATCAAAAAAGAACCTAACGTGGTATTGCATTTTGTGAACAATGCATTAAATTAACACGTTAATTCATTGTTTACTCATCTGTTACCGTTATTAACGATGTCATGACGAAATAAAACAGAAAACGTAAACAAATCGATACATGCAATTAACACTACGCCAACTTAATTTTTTGGTAATTTTCTGTTATTTTTGCAAACAGCCATATTTATACGAATACTATGATGCCCCTCGAATTTTGTTGAAAAAGAAATAAAAAACTAAAAACTAAATTCGAAAAAGAAAACGAATTTTGTGAAAAAGAAGAAACAAATAATTGTGACTATTTAATTGAAAAAAAAATCGACTTTTTTCGAAAAACGGCTTTTTTCGATTTCCATGATCCCCTCATCAGATTCTGACTCTTTGGTGACAATGGGACTGTTACGGACTCCTTTGTACATATTATATTTTCTTTTCTGGTTGTCACTTTGACAGTGATTTGTTGATTACATGTATTGAATCAATGAAAAGTCGACTTTTATTTGCGGAAAAAAATTAGTAATTTGTGATAGCCGTAACGGACCCGGAACAGCATCAGGGATCACCTCGAGAGTATACCCTTTCAAACAAAAGAAGAATTTTCAAAATCGGTGCACAATTGATGGAGACATTGGTGAATACATGGACATACCTATAAAATTTGAGGGTAGTATTTGATTTTCATGGGATCCCCTCATCAGATTCTGACTTGGTGACAATGGGACCACTACGAGAGTGCACCCTTTCAAACAATAAAAGAATTTTCAAAATCGGTCCACAATTGACGGAGATGTGAGAAAACACATACAGCCGAATGTATAACCTCCTTCTATTTTTTTTAAGGCGGTTAAAAATAAAAAAGGAACAGGTCCAAAAATTAAGTCGGCGTAGTGTTCAATGGAGGTTACGAAATGATAAATTAGCATCGTTCCACGGACATAGCTCCCAAATCAATACCGTCAGTACTGATTGTCTTTTTTTAATGTTACAGTATTTGCTAGGTTGTATCCTTCCAAATAAATTCAACATTGTTGAGTTCCAAGAAGAACCGCTTACAAATGAATCACGACACGACAGTTTATTGCTACACCACATTATGTTGTGAACTTTCAACTACCTCCATGACCAAACGGTTACCATGCTGGTAAGCACGAAGAGGTCTCGGGTTCGATTCCCTGGCCGGGAGAAATATTTGTATAACCTACATTTATTTCTCTCATGAGTTTGTAGTGAGCGAGTGTGTCCATGGCATCCGCGACACAGGGTTTCTCAAGTGCGGCGCTGTTTGTGTGCGTTATTTAATATTTTATATGGTTGGCCGACAGGATGGAGACTGCGGGTGTTCGTTCTTTTGCTTCACCGGTCAGGTTTTGAAATAAATAATAGAAAATCTCGTTTAGACCACCTGCTTTTCCTATCACATTTAAAAAGCTTTATTAATGCATGATTTTTAAATCGAAAGAACAATGAGTGGGAAACTTGGATTCTCTTTTAATAATGAATATTAATAACACTGAATATTTTGTTATTAAAAGACGCATTGTGACAATATTTACATTTATACTAATCTCGTTCTTTTAAACTTGGCAAGGAAGTTGCCGACAGCGGTTAAACAATATACAAGAAACTTCTATCCATCTTCAGATTGGCTTACTCTTAATCTCATTATTACTTGTTTTGAGTAGATGAAGGACCAATATGGTAAATAACAACTCGTCATCAATCCATACGTGGCCCACTGTTGAGCACTGAGTCTCCTCTAAGAGGGTTGTGGCAGTAATTCACCACGATGAGCAAATGCGAGTTTATCAATTTATTATAAAAAATAAATAAAACAGTTAATCTCCATTCGGGTTGGCTAGATAATAGAAATTACTCACCACACTTCCATTGTATATTATTCTTAGACCGCTTTTCTAATATACCAATGCCCTCTAGCACGTTGGTGATGTCGTAGATGCGTCGCTTCTGCACCGAAAGCCGCTCGGCCGCGATGTTCAGGTCCAAAACACCGTTGGGCGAGGACTTCAGCAGCGCCACAAACTTTTTTGTTAATAAACCTAATGATGTATCAAACCTGAAACAATATCATTTCACATTCACTTTTTTATAATATAATAAACACAGAATACACGTCAAAAAAAATGCCTATCTACTCTAGCTATGAATAGCCGAATTTTCGAGAAACTTAGATGCCAGCAGTGTGTATACCATACCTCGATATATTTCAGTATAATAGAGAACAGTCAATAGCAACTATCATCAGCCGGGAGAATTCTACTGCCAAACATAGATCTCCCCAATAGAATGTAACGTCTAACTTAAAAATCTTGACTTTTCGAGCGAAAATCCTATATATTATGCAATCAATTCCGTTTCTATTTCTGAATTTCAGAAATATGTTGGACTTTGTATTTTACTTTGAACACCAGGCTGACTTTTGAATTAAACTGTTGGGATCTTGGCATCTAGTGGCTTCCTGCGACCATCACCAGATCGAAATGTGCACCTGAAGTGAAGGGGGAAACATTTTCTACACTGTCTTTCAGCTCGTAGTCCAGGTTGAACTTTGCATCAGTTGTTAGTTGTGTCGAATGTAGGTAGCCTAAATAATACTGTGTACAATTTAAGCGCCCAGTTACACGAGAAGAAAGATTCGCGCGGCCGCCGTGCGGCGACCGCCCAGTTACCACGCCTTCACGTACAGTAATGGCGAGTCTGAATTCTATTTATTATGCAACAATATTTAAATTCCTCTCAATAAAATTACGTGTCGTCGCGCGGGCCGCCGCTTAGACCAAATTGAAGCCAGGCTAGCCCGCGTGCCCGGAAAGCTCATTTAAATTAAAACGTAAAAGCTAAACAGAGCGTATTTTGCCATGACAGTTAGACGCACGCGGTCGCTGCGCGGCGGCAACGCGGACTCCGCTCTTCGACCGCGCGAGGTGAGAGCGATGAAATTCGTGTGGAATAAATGCGCCCTAAGTATACTTGCAAGTTTTTAGATGTAGGATAATTGATAATTGAAAATATTCTTCCAACGGTTAAAACATTTTTAGCAGAAATTGCTTAAAAAGTTTATTACACTTTTATCAGATAGTTCACTTTTTAATTGGTCGCTTATTTATTATACATTTTTATTGCCATCGAATTTGGGCGCGAATGTATAGTTCTAATTTTGATTCGGTCAGTGAAAAAACAAACTTTATAAGCCCAATGACCCAGATATGTTTTAAAGCACTGTATTATTTATACTTATATGCATGGAAAACTCATGACGAAATTCTGCCAAGTTTATTCTGCCCAGTTTATTCTGCCCGCATGTGGTGGCTATCGGCACATAAGACTACAACCGTGTTTTGCCTGTGATTACTGCACCTTTGAACCGTGCAATTATCGCTGATTTCTGATAATTTTATATCTGGTTGGGTCAGTGGTATCTATGCAGATCTGCTTCTACACAGAAAAAATCTATCTACTTGAAGACAACGAAAATCAATTGATTGTTTACCTGACGAGAAGTAGGTATTGTACCTGGATCGTTCTGTAAATTTTTTCATAGAACTGGACGGTCGGCTGTAGGGCGTGAGCACCTTGACGCGTTTCTGTTTGGGCGTCTTGAAATCCGCCTTCATGGGCACCACGTGCCCCTGGCTGCCTGAACTGCTTTCGCTCAGGTTCAGTCTTCTTTTCACCGCCTATAGACAAGGAACATAATTTAAAGCCGGGTCCATATTTCATCTTCACGTTTTGGACGAAAATTTGTATATTTACAATACAGTACTTGAATTTACACATTTTTCAAGGTTTGTGAACAGATCATCACGGTAATTATTAATTCGATCGAACACAATAAAAAAATCCTTCGACCCGACAGGACTTGAACCTGCGTTCACGCTGTACCGTAGCGTCGCTCTGCGAACTGAGCAACAGGTCAACGAAATCGTGTCCTTTATAGATCTTTGTATGACCATGTTCATGATCACGATGTTTTCCTTCATAATTAGCGGGAAGTATTGCTACTAAACATTGCCTTAAGTAACTTCGAAATTAAAATCATAGACATAGTTCATATGCCAATAAAAAGATTCAAACCGTCGACCCTTCAATTCAGTAGAAACCGTTTTCCTTATTGGAGATCGATGTTGTGCAATTTTTACACAATAATGCAGTGTTGCAAAATGCTATACTTCGTCTTTTTTTAAATTAGCTACTTAAAAAGCTGTGAACAAAGAGGCAGTGATCGTAAACCTTTTTCTTCAGACCATAAATTGCGGTAAACGAAAACATCGTGACAAATGTCACTCATGATAGTATCATGTTATTGTTTCATAAAAAGTTTCTATTTTTTTCTTAAAATTTTTTGTAGCGCAAGTTTTTGAAACAGATTAAATACGTAAAGATGGAAATTTTTCGTGAATAATACGAGTAAGAAAAACGTAGTAATTATATAAAGGTAGTAAATATGTTTGAGAGTTTTGTTACACGGTATTTATTAAATTCCTTTGCTTACAAAATGACTGAATGCATTAAGGGCGTCATAAAACATTCAAAGAAATATACGATTTTGTAAAAAAAAAATTTGTAAGAAAATGGGTGCTTTATTCTTGATAAAGTTTCGCTTGCTTCGCTCGTCACTGTATGCTTAGTTCAAAATTCGCAGTATCTGCAATATTACGTTATTGTATAAAGGCAGCGATGTAATGGGTTGATAAACACCCATGTATCGTCTATTTACATTTATATTGTTAAAAACGGAACTCTTTGTACCATCTTGGTGTATCAGATAATTTCGTATGTGTCACCAAAGCGTATCATTGTTATGATACACGTTCGGATGGGAAATAAATCACGATATCTCATGATAATATTTATTAAAAATCCTTGTTTTACTAAAGCCAGTAAGTTACATTTACACAACAAGTTTAAACAGGTATCTTTTTTCAATCCAAAGTTGCTTGTCACGGTATAGCTTTTTCAAGAGCCATCTTTGATGTACGCCTTTACCGAAACCCGCAACTAAAGGGTATAGGAATATTGGATATAAACGGCAACATAGAAATATATTAAACTAGCAACAAAACTCATATCGCGTTCCGTCGTCGCTAAAAAGAACACAATAGATAAGATCTTGCCGATTCCTGAAACAGGATTTAGCCCACAGCTGTCGTTATGTGCGTTATCAAGTGAGTTTGAAGTTCCATTCTCGAAATATTCTTGACTCATGTACATTTTAACCACATAGCTCCCTGAGTAAGAGTTCGCCTATGGAAGTGTTCATATAAAACCTATTTCTGCCGCCAGGTTTTGAAGGGTAAGGGTGCAATCACAGGCACATAGGACTTGACTTATCAACTTATAAGAATGACGGGCACAGATAGCAGCGCTCGCTACAACTTTACTGGTGTGTACATTTATAGGTCCAATTTCGGAGATACATACGATATTTGTACATTTGACGCGGAGATATTTAGGCCTTTTGTGCATTTAACGCTCCAGCCTCAAGATAGGTACTCGAGACTCATGTGCATTTGACGCTCCAACCTCGAACAGAGCGATTATCTCGATATTCGCTGCCAATTTCTTTTCATTTAAGTTTTGCAAAACATTATAGATAATTCACCGGACATATTCCAAGTCCACAGCAATGTTCAATCATCTGGAGCAATCATCAATCATGAAACTAGATATCAGACGGAACGGGAGGGTATTTCAAGAAGGTAAGGCAATGCAGAAGGTAAGCAGCAATGCTTGACTTTTTCGTTAAATACTTACTAAGTAGGAAAATTAGTTTCAATAGCAAACCGATGAGAAGCATTATGTGGACCCTTCGCTACTGCTAAATATGGTATAGACGAGCATCCTCGCCTGACGAGATTCTTGGATCGTGCATGCCATTAAAAATAAATGTTTTTTGATGCCTTTGTAAAATACAAATCTTATAATTATAAATTTATATTTGAAATATCATTGGGCTGATGATTTTACTTTAATACGTATTATTAATTTTCAAAAGCAGCTCATACATTTACTTAAGTCTCTAGTACATCTATAATTATGTTCATCTGTAATTAAATTAGTTGGTGTATAAGAATTATGTTCTTGATTACCCTATAGCTACGTAAATATTACACGTATTATTCCTATCGATAATATAATTCTTAATAAATAAACAATTAATTTAATCGTTTTCTACATTGCGATCAAATATAATTCCTCTCATTAGTGGCAGTCAGCCACCAAAGAAATGTACTAACACATTACAAACCTAATTATTACGTTTTTAACCCTAAGCTTATAAAGCATAGCAAATAAAAACAATATCCACATTTGTTACCCATTAAAAAAGGATCTGAACAACTAAGAATTATATAAATCAAACGAAATATTTAATAAAACATCACGATGCCTTACTTTCTCAAACTCGTATCTTATAAAGAGTGATTATTATTTAGGAGATGGCAAAACTTTCTGTTTTTTGAATTTCTTATCAAGGGTGTTAATTTGGGTGCATTACTTTAAGAATAGGTAAAAGTCAGTGTGTGAATATGAAAGAAATGTGATGGGAAATCAGCCTGCGAAATTTGTATACATATTTTTTACATTTCAGTAACTCTGCGCTTTAAGATACGAGTCTGAGAAAGTGAGGCGACGATAAGTGCCATTTGCCTTGAATGAAATAATTTATTAAGTTATTATTTTACACCCTTACCTATTTCTGCCGCCAAGCAGTAATTCAGCATTACTGTGTTCCGGTTTTGAAGGGTAAGAGTGCTGGTGATATTACAGGCACATGGGACTTGTCAATTTATGTCTCATATATAGCGTCTGACACGGTATGCTAGAAGACATCGATTCGAATCCGGCCGGGTCGAAGGATTTTTTCTGAGTGTTCGATCTTTCTATTAATACTTATAAAAACATATTGTTTACATCGAAGAAAACGTTTCCTCCGGTAAAAAAACAAAAAACAAATTTCCAACAACAACTTTGGCAATGACGTTTAATATACCTGTTTCATAATTGCATAATAGTTTACGATCAAACAAACATTAGTTTCAACGTAGGGCGCGTTCCCATTATGTCGTAACGTTTCATTTATCGTTGGACGACTGTCGCGTTCAGCCTGTTCCCATATTACGACTATCAGTCGTAACAGTGTCGTGGACTTTCTTTATCGTTGAACGACAGTCATGCCTAGCTGTTGCTATAATGACGACAATTTATCGTTTCACGGCAGCCGCCTTGTCCTTTGCAGATATGAGACAACGATAAATAACACGTGACGTCAATAGTAGCTGCGATTATCCGTCGTCTCATTTTTATCGTGACGTTTTATTTATCGTCAGATGACTGTCGTCCTAGCCTTCCGATAGTCTTGACAATCTGTCGTCGTAACGTAAAAAAGTCATGAACGACAGTTAATCAATTTATTACAATTTAGTAGCAGTAGAGCTCCTTGTGAAAGAGTTATCCAGGGAAGTACTGCCACCTTAGCTATTTCTGCCGCCAGGCAATAATGTGAATATTACTGCGTTCACTGGTGACATTACAGGCACAAGAGACTTGTCAACTTACGTCTCAGGGGTCGGGTGTAGTACCGGTGCCCCTCAGATTTTTGTGATTTAAAGCTCTGTTATGGACAGGCGTGTAGCTTTCCACCAGGTACAAGACTTTTTCGTTCCGTCACTTAGTATTATAAAAAAACGGGCTATACTATATGTGAACAATTTCATTTAAATTTACGTATAACCCACGACACTTTAAACTGCACGACTATCTGTCGTCACGTAATAATGGGAACGCGTCTTGAGGACATTTAATACTGCATGAAAATGCAAGGTGGCTCGAATTATGTGCCAGGGAGTGTATTTTCGTCAACGTGCATCATTGTTAGTTTCTTTCGTACATTGCATAGTTTGTTCTCTGACCAAAATAATTTCTTGTTCTAGGTATAATATATTTTTACTGCTGGTAGTTCTAGTGATATATATCGCACATGACAACTAATATAGAATTATCACAAAATGGGTTTCAGTTATATTAATATTACCTATTTAGTTTTAAAGCGACAGTGTTGGCCCGTCACTTTGAAATTAAATCGTATATGAATGACACGTTATTATAGCGGAATTTTGGAGATAAATTATTAATACAACGCAGTTTTGAGGTAAAATATAATATAACGCAATTTTTGAGATAATACTATGTTAGTTGTCAAGTGAGATATATACAGCACTGTTCATAAACTCAACCCTTCTATATTACTCTAAGCTATTAATAGTTTGCCTTTTTCTAGAACTAGTTCACATAGTTATTAACACATTTTCGCAAGTAGCGCTTCGCTATATTTATATGGCGAACGGCTATGGAGTGGAATTCCCTGCCTGCAGACTTGTTCCCTGAACGTTACAACTTGGACCTTTTCAATGCGAGAGTGAATAGGCATTATTAAAGTGTCCATGCTCCATCGTCGACTTCATCGTCACTTTCCATCAGGTGAGATGGAAGTCAAATGCGCACTTAGTTTTAAGTTTAAAAAAATCCCTTAACATTTTTATCAACCAATAATTTTAAAAACTTCAGTAGCTTACTTACTTATTAATAGTTTAGGAGCTACTTTCGAGATGGGTAGACAATAGAAAAAGTTAAACAGGGTCTAATGAAGTTAGATCCTGTTAATTTGTGAATAATATTA